ACATCATTGAGAATAAGGAACCCCATAAACGAAGCGTGTCCGTGAAATGCCATCTGCCATTAAAAATGTTTTACTAGAATAGTCAGTAAAAGGGTCACAACGTGTCAAGTGAACAAGAGAGGCTGCACTACAACACAAATTTGCTTTTACAAAACCAAAAATAGGGGCGCCTGGGTGGCGCAGTCGGTTAAGCGTCCGACTTCAGCCAGGTCACGATCTCGCGGTCCGTGAGTTCAGCCCAGCGTCAGGCTCTGAATTTTGAGAGCCCAGAGCCTGGAGCCTGTTTCGATTCTGTGTCTCCCTCTCCTCCTGTTCATGCTCTGTCTCTCTCTGTCCCCCAAAAAATAAATAAAACGTTGAAAAAAAAAATTAAAAAAAAAAAAAAAAAACAAAATAAAGGAAAAGCAAAAACATGTGTTTGTCCACATGTGGGAAAGAAAATTCACCAAAATATTAACAGTGGTTTTCTCTGATCAGATGCCTTTTTTTAAGTTTTCTACATTTTTTACTACAATATTTTACTCGAGAAAAAAAAAAGGCTATTGAAAAAAAGTCGACCCTCCATTGTCTGAGGCCAATGGCAGGCGAGTGGCAGAAAGTGCTGGAATTCGGGAAGCTGTTACCAGTCCCCAGCCAAGACTGACCTAAAGGCTCACTGCTGTCCATCTCTGGCCTTTCCCTGTCCCCTCCCTCAGAATGCAGACAGTCCCTGGGCTTGTCAAGGGCCTGAGAATGCACCCAATTCCAGCCACACTTCTTTTTTTAAATTTTTTTTTTTTTTCAACGTTTATTTATTTTTGGGACAGAGAGAGACAGAGCATGAATGGGGAAGGGGCAGAGAGAGAGAGGGAGACACAGAATCGGAAACAGGCTCCAGGTTCTGGCGCAATCAGCCAGAGACTGACGGGGGCTCGAACTCACTGGACCGAGATCGTGACCTGGCTGGTCCGGACGGCAACGACCTCACCCAGGCGCCCCCAGCCACACTTCTTAAGGCCTGCTCTTGTGCCCACGGAGGGGGGCGGGAGAGCCACTGCAGACAAGAGGGATCAGATGCAAGTCAGAGGATGACGACGAAGGGAGCAGACCCTTTCTGCAGGTCACCCAGACTCTGCTTGCACACCTCCAGGGACGGGAGCTCACTACAATGCACACAGCTGGGGCCACGTCCAGCAGAATTGGAACAAAAACCCCCCATCTGGGCCCACCTTACTCCCCACGGCCTCTCCTCTCCCACCCCAAATCCTGCCTCGAGTTCTGTCCAAGGGTACAGCTCTCGGGCGGCAGACCCCATCCCTTCACCCCTTCCATCTGCAAGGCATTCAAAAAGCCCTTTCATTGGCTCAGGCACAGACCACACTCTGGCCTCCCCTCACGGGCAGGTGAGGTGGTATTTATAGCCCAGGAATAATTGGATGTTAATTCTTTTCTGCAAAAGAGCGACTGGAGTTTCAATTTCCTCCCCTCCGAACTCTGAAGTGGGGCTAGCTGTAACTGGGAGGCCGTGACCGACACGGAGCAAGGGGCCACATCATGCGCACGCGGGCACACACACGTACCACCCAGGGCCCCCGGGCCCCTCACCCCTGCAAGTGGTCCTTGTAAAGGCCTCAGAAGTAGAAGCCCTTCCTCCCCAGTCCTACCAACAAACCAGTGGCCACTCTCACTTTGGGTGCGCAAGCCTCTTCCTGCCAGGTGTGGGATTCCACGTTAGAATCTAGCCGAGTCCAGGGGCGCCTGTCTGGCTCGGTCAGTGGAACCTGAGGCTTTTCATCTTGGGAGTTGTAGGTTCGAGCCCCATGCTGGGTGTAGAGATTACTTAAAAATAAAATTAAAGGGGCGCCTGGGTGGCTCAGTCAGTTAAGCGACCAACTTCAGCTCAGGTCATGATCTCACACTCCTCCTTGAGTTCGAGCCCCGTGTCGGGCTCTGTGCTGACAGCTCG